GGACGGGGAGAGAAGGCTGGAAGCGGTGCATGAGGAGCAGGAGCAGGGGCAGACGGCCGAATGCTGCAAAAAGATGTATCCTGCTCGTCCCGCGCCTGCTCCTTCATTCTCCTCGTCCTCATCGTCCTCCTCCTCCTCCTTCCCCTCCCCATCCCCCTCCTCCTCCTCATCCTCCTCCTCCTCCTCCTCCTCATACTCCTCATGCTCCTCCGCCCCCTCCACCTCCCCATCCGCTGCTCCGCCTCGCCATGCACATCCTCCTCTGCCTTCTCCGCCTCCACCTCGGAGCTCATCTCTTAAAAACGAGACTCGGCAATACGCTGCTATCGAGATCGATCCTTCACCGAGCTGTGCAATCGGTGCTGGCAGGGGACCTGCTGCATCACCCCTGTACGCTCCTCCTCCTCCTCCTCCTTCTCGTCCTCCTCCTCCTCCTCCTCCTCCTCCTCCTCTCCTCCTCCTCCTCCTCCTCCTCATCCTCCTCCTCCTCCTCCTCCTCCTCCTCCTCCTCCTCCCTTCTCCTCCTCCTCCTCGTCCTCCTCGTCCTCCTGCTCCCTCTCCCCCCATCCCCCATTTCCGCCTCCCCCTCCTTCCTGACTCCTCCGCCTCGCTCTCCTTCCTGCTGCCCCTCCGCCCCCCCACCTGCACACCCTCTCTCCACCTCCCTTATTCCGCCTCTGGGCCCCCGAGCTTGCCTGCCCTGCCCCGCCCCCCTTTCTCCTTCCTCCTTCCCGCCCACGAGTTGCTCCACACGATTAACTACTGCAGTCGGACCTGGGCCAGAGGAGCATCCTTCAAGACCATGAGACCCTCCGTCGGCCAAAACACACAGCACATCCCAGGGTACCCTGTCCATGGGTGCGCAAGAACATCCAATGAGCACGAAGAGCACGAACCGACCTCGTTCTTTTTCCTCGGTTCGACTGCACTCTCCTCTCTCCATGAATCCTGTCTGAACGGGGCCCGCTTCCTCCCGCATACTTCGGCTCCACGCAAGAGTGACCCGCGTAAGAGTGATCTTTGGTGCGCAGCTTTTGTGGGGCCGCGGGGGTACCAAGCTCAGGCGCGCAAGACGCTACCATCGCATCGCGATCGGTGATCGGGGGACCCCATTGTGCCCGCACCAGAAGTCACTCCGGCGAAAGGTCACTCTTAGGTGTAGTCGAACACTGTCTTTCCCCAAGGTGCCGGACCCGGTCGTCGCCGGGTTTCCTGGGGCTCTCCTGTGTCGCCCTGGGGTTCCCCAGCCGTGCCCCTTTCCTACAAGGGCCTTGCCTTGCCTGGGTTCTCTGGTCTCGCGTGCCCAAGCGTTCCCCTGGACTTGTCCCTTTCCTGTTTCGAGAAAGCCAGCCTTCCTCGGGGTTCCCCGGGTTCCCTGGTTTGTTTCCTTCTGGTGTTTGAGGCAATTCCAAGCACTGCAAGGTGATACCAATGAACGCCGAGCGATGCCAAGCAATGCAAATGAATGCCACGCAACAGACAATGCGAAGAACTGCCAAACGAAATGCCAAGCAATGCCAAGCCAAGCAATGCCGAGTAATGCCAAGCAACGCAAAACAATGCCTAGCCATGCCACACAACGTCAGCCAACGCCACGCAATGCAATGCCAAGCAAGGCAACTCACTTTCAAGCAATGCCAAACAATGCCGCGTTGGATAGATTCCCCTAATTGTGGCCGCGCTGGGCTAATGCACGAACGTCTAGAACTTCAACAGGTGATGTTTAAAGCGGTGTTTCAAAATGGGGCTCCCTGTGCAGCGCCGGCTTCGCTTTAGGATCGACCTTTTGCTCCCTTCACTCACATTGGCGTTACCGCTCCAGGACAGGGGACCATGCCGGATCCGACCTCTGTCTCCCACTACTCCTCCCGCTCCCCTTGCTCCTGCTCGTGGTGCTGCTGTTCTTCCTCGTCCTCCTCCTTCCTCAGTTCCACCCTCTGCCTTCTGCTCGTCCTACAGTCGGCCTTGATTGGACAGGACACGCGAGAGGACACAAAACCCTTCCGAGGGCCACATTGCCACAGGAATGTAGGAAGCATGGGTCGCGAGGCACAGGACTCGAGGGTACCTGAGCTGGCAGGATCGACCTACTAATCTGGGCCGACTGTAGTCCTCCACCTCCCTCTCCTCCTCCTCCCTCTCCTCCCTCTCCCTCTCTTCCTCCTCCTCCTCCGCCTCCTCCTCCTCCTCCTCCTTCTCCTCCTCATCTTACTCCCTCTCCTCCTCACCCTGACTTTCCGCCTGCTGCACACGAGGGGGCGGGGGCGCCGAGGAGGGCTGAGAAAGGCGACGAGGGCGATGCAAAGCTAGGTGCGCTCGTGCCAAAACTGGCATCCGATCCACCCAACCCATCCCTGTCCATTGCATTGCACTGGTTTTCTGTCTGCCGACTGGTGTCCCAGCAAACCTGGAAGCATCGAGCAGATCTCATCGATGGATGCGCAGGCAGAAAACAAGATAGGGAGCAAGGCTCAGAAGACTTCTCTCAGAGGGCCAGGGGACTTCCGAGCTGCCTGAGAAGGCCCAGCCCTTCGCACTTCCCCCCTGGGCTCGCCGCCGACAGGCACCCGACGAGCACGCGGAAGACGACGAAAAAACAGGAGACAACCGAGAGCTGCCCCGACACGCAACTCCAACAAAGACAATGAACCATTCTGAGAAGGATGCGCGGCAAGGATGCCGTGAGCTCTGCGCACGGCGCAGACAAGGCGGACTGACATTGGCATTGGGGACGAGCATTCAGAGCATTGCAAGGCCACGGGCTCAGCGAAGCGGAAGGGGGACCGGACAGCCGCTTCCGCCGGGACGCGATGCTTTGCCTCACCCTGCAGCTCCGCCAAATCTGTTGCTGCAGCTCCCCCGCGGCTCATGGGATAGCTCGGCGACGGTGGAGGACACATGAACCGAGGGTCCTCCTGCAGCAGCAACTGCCAGATGCTCGAAGAGGTCGAACGGTTCCGCGTCGGACGGTCCCCGCGACCGGCCCCACCCTGAGGAGCCTCCGCGGTGGGGGGTTGGGACCCAACGACGGGAAACCGGCAGGGCTCCCTCCTCCCCCTTCACAAGGACCTCGACACCGCCATCCGCGACGATGGATCCCCACGGACAGCACGCGCCACACTGCAGGCACGCACTCCGCCCGCCGCATCCGCAGAGAGCCGCGGCGGTCCTGAAGTCCAGACCCCTGCGCAGCAGCTGAGAGGCGGGGCCCCACGCCGGACCCGGTGAAGCGTGGCGGCGTCCGCCGCCGCCACGTCGATCCCAGCGCCACTGGCGCACGGGGCGGCCTCCCTCCGCAGCTTCTCGATCCGAGTGGCGGCCTCTCGCCGCGCAGCACAGCTCAAACGTGGCCGGCGTGAGAGCTCGGAGCCGTCGTGCCACCTCCGCGTCTGCGACGAAGACCTCCAGGGTCGCCTCCGCCGCCGCCGCCGCCAGCTGCCCGCGAACGGCTAGGAGATCGCCCACGCGCTTGGCCACGGCACGGTCGGCGGACCAGCGCGCCCACGCCCAAGAGGCGCGGCGGGCCCTGGCAGAGCGCGCGGGGCGGAGGAAAGCTCCGCCCTCCCGCTTGGGCGTGAAGGCAACTCATGGGGGGATAGTGGAGGGGGGGGAAAGGTACCCTCGGGCCCCAGATGCCCCCTTCTCGGCCATAGGGGGCTCCCCTTTAAGGGGACCTGAGGGGCCCCTTGTCGGCAGCCCTCGCTGCCCCTCCCCCCTTGATCGCCCCCCACTAAGCACGCGACGCCCAAGCAGCAGAGGGCAGAACCAGGCCCGGCAGGGCCGCCGCCGTCTCGGCTGGCCGTCTCCTCCGGCCGTGGGGTCCGACAGCGACGCCGACAGCGACGCCGACCTCGACCTCCGACGCTCTCGCCCACCCACTTACGCGACCTCCGACCCTCCCGCGACTTCCCCGAGTCTGGCCGCCGACCACCTCCCGAAGCTTCAGGCAGGCCGCGCATGACGAGCCAGCTGGAGCAGCATGGGGGCTCGCCCGCGGAGGGCGGCTTGAGCCGAAATGGCCACGGAGGAGGAGGAGGAGGAGGAGGAGGAGGAGGAGGAGGAGAAAGAGGAGGAGGAGGAGGAGGAGGAGGGAGAAGGAGAAGGAGAAGGAGGAGGAGGAGCAGGAGGAGGAGGAGGAAGCGGAGGAAGAGGAGGAAAGTCAGGAGGAGGAAAGGCAGGAGGAAGAGAACCCTCAAGCCATCAAAAAACAAGAAACAGGAGGAGGAGGAGGAGGAGGAGGAGGAGGGGGAGGAGGAGGAGCAGAGGCAGCCGGAGGGGTGGTGAGGATGCGTGGGTGGAGTGGAGGGAAGAGGGGAGGGCGGGGAGGATGCGAGAAAGGCAGGGGAGGGGGAACTGCCCCTGTCCTCCATCCATCCCTCCCCCACGCACTCCTCAGAGGAAGAAAAACAATGCAAACATCAACTTTCGCCAAGCCCCTGCAAGCGGGGTGTTTGTAAACGGGGTGGTAGCTAGGGGTTCGTTCTGAATTGTGCCTTCGAAGAACTGGTTTGCCGCGCACAGGCGCAAGGTAATCCCCCCCGCCCAGACTTATGATGATGTATCGACGATACTGTTGTCCCGATTTATCGCGTACTAGTGCGAGGTAAATGCCATGTCACCCTGTACTCGCTCGTAGAGGCAGCTTAGCTACCACCTCGTTTACCAACACCCCGTTTGCATGGGCTTGGTTCGACGGTCCGCGCAGACTTGGTGGATCTGCGCAGGACCCCCCTTCCTGGTGCGCGGAGCGCGCCAGGGGCGGCGCCAGAGGCGCCGCCAGGGGGGCCCAGAGTTGATACAAGAACTCTGCGCAGACCTCAAAAAATCATGTTTACGAAATTGTTTCTCTTCGATCCTTCCTCCCAACTGGGGAAACCAGCAGGTACCGATACCGCTACGCCCCACTGACCAGAACTTCGAGTCGAATCTGGCGGTGGCGACGAGGGCCTCCGAGGAGGCCCAAAGGGGGGAGAACGAGGAAAGGGCAGCGGTATGGGTACCTTTTCCTCGCCGACCGGCGTTCACCTCCCAGCCGAGCTCCGTGAAGACGCACTGCTCTACCGACTGCTTGAGCGCGTCGCCGACCGGCCCTATGACCGAGAACGCCTGGCGGGGGTCAGGAGGCCCCCCCCCCTCCTCTCCTCCTCCTCCTCCTCCTCCTCCTCCTCCTCCTCCTCCTCCTCCCTCCTCCTCCTCCCCTCCTCCTCCTCCTCCTCCTCCTCCTCCTCCTCCTCCTCCTCCTCCTCCTCCTCCTCCTCCTCCTCCCCCCTGGGGGAGGAGGGGCCCCACTCGCTGGCGAGCCCGCAGGGGCAACCGGTGAGGAGGGGCAACTCCTGCGGGGTCTCCGCGCGAACGACTGCAATGAGCTGCCAAGTGTTAACGGGCGAAGCACGGTATAACATAAACTTTTTCGCCGTCGGGGACACCCGCCCAGGGGCAGGTGTCCCCGACGGCGGAAAAGTTGATTTTATACCGTTCTTCGCTCGCTGAAAGTAAGGCGCAGTCAGGACGAGAAGAACATCGGGTGAGGATAAATCGATGAATCTCCGGGATCCAGCGATTCTGGAGGATGTCTCGGGCGCCGCGGCCTGCTCGGAGTGCTCTAGAACGCTCGGATCAAATCTGGATCGCTATGGAACGGGTTTACTCTCGTCCTCTTGGCCCCGTCCGACCATGTCCGATCGGAGACCATTAAGCCGGATCAGGCCCAAGATCGGGCCCCATCAGGCCGGATTTAGCGGGACTGAGCCGGACTGAGCGAGACTTTGCCGGATGATGGTTGTTTCATGCGCATGCGACGTCCTGATTTTTTCAAGAATTACGCAATCCCCAGAAGTCCCGACCCTTTCCCCGGGACAGGTTTTTCATCCCGGGTCGTTTTTTGACGGTCCCGGCTGGGCGAGAGCTCCAGGAGGCCGAAAAATTTGCCCAAAAACCTCCCGTCGTGATTTTTCCCCGACGGGATCATGTCTGGGGACGTAGCAATGCCGACGCTGACCTAAACCTCCCAGGAGCTACATCCTAACACCTGGGAGGAGGAGGAATCGGAGGAGGAGGAGGCGGAGGAGGAGGGACAAGGATCAGGAAGGAGGAGGAGGAGGAGGAGGAGGAGGAGGAGGAGGAGGAGGAGGAGGAGGAGGAGGACGGGCGGCTCTCGGAGGAGAGACGGTACACACACAACCTGTCTCGACGGAGAACTGGCCCGCCGTCTAGGCGGACGAGGGACCAGCGCCATCGGGAACTGCAGCTCGCACAAGACGAAGCTGGGACGAAGATCAAAATTCGGATGAGGATAAATCTCGGGGAGAACAAAGGTGGAGTTGCGGCAAAGGTAGGGTTGGAAGGAAGGTCGCTCCGAACGGCCCCTTTGGGCCAGTTCCCCAGCCCCACCCTGGGATAACCCTCCCTCTACGAACCCCCGGAAATCAAGAATGTCTGAGATCCGGCGGCTCTGGAGGATCTCTCGGGCGCCGCGGCCTCCTCAGAGCGTTCTGGAACGCTCTGGGAGCGCTCCGGAACGCACTGGGACGGATTTATCCTCGTCCTTCGAAGACCGATTTCTGACCACATCCACCTCTGGATCCTCGATTCTATGATCGGCCCTCGGGGGTGGAAGTGGGTAGCTGCTCCTCCCCCTGGGGCGGGGAACCTGCCCACCTCCACCTCTGGAAGCCGCGTTCCGCGAGGCACCTCGGGAAGTGGGTGTGGTCAGAAATCGGTATCCTCGTCCTGTAAAACGACGCGAAGATCGGGACAAAATCGGATCGGGATAACTCGAAATCTCTGAGAATCGGCGGGTTTGGAGGATGTATTGGGCGCCGCGGCCGCTCCAGAGCGTTCCGGAACGCTCTGAGAGCGCTCCGGAACGCTCTGGATCGATTTATCCCGATCCTAGCCCTGTTTTATCCTGGCCCGCCTGGCCGCAGGGGGAGGGGAGGTCCGCCACAGGATCCGTCGGCATCGAACGGGACAGGCTGCGCCAGGATGCACCGCGGCGCGATGCGAGCGTCGGGCCGCAGCGGATCGTCGGAGCACCAGGAGGAGGAGGAGGAGGAGGAGGAGGAGGAGGAGGAGGAGGAGGAGGAGGAGGAGGAGGAGGGAGGAGAGGAGGAGGAGGAGGAGGAGGGAGGAGGAGGGAGGAGGAGGAGAGGAGGAGGGAGGAGGAGGGAGGAGGAGGGAGGAGGAGGGAGGAGGGAGGAGGAGGGAGACATCGAGCCGCATCGGTCGGATCGACACGGACACGGAGTGGCAGCTCGCGGAGGGGGAGAGGGACCCCGCCCCCCGACGCCGTGACCTTGTCGCAACGTCGACGGGGCGGCACCGAGGCACACTGCTGCCATGCATGCTTCGCCCCCCTCGGGAGCGACGCGCGCAGCGAGAAATCCCGCAGCATATGCGTCGTGACGGGCGCTTCCTGGCCGTACCGCTCATGATGTGCTACATGATGGTTCTGCTATATGATCGGGTCGGACGCACGCCTCCGAAGATGACACACAGTGCTAGGATGTCCTGGTGCGTCCCATCGACCCCAGGAGGTATGCACACATTCCCTGGGACCGGTTTCTCACCCGGAGTCGTTTTTTGACGGTCCCGAGGCCCAGCAAGGGCCCCCAGAGGCCGAAAATCTCGGAACACCTCCCGCCGTGATTGTTGTTCACAACGTCTCGACCCCCAAAGGTCTGGGCCCCTTCCCCCGGGACCAATTTCTCACCCTGAGGGTCGTTCTTTGACGGCCCCGAGGTCCCGTCCCTACGCCCCCGGAGAGGCCGAGAATAGCGAAAAACCTCCTGTCGTGACTTCTTCGCAGCGCTAGGGGGTCTGGGGAGGGCAGCTCGCGGTGGAGGGGAGGGATGGGGTGGAAGAGGGATGGGGGAATAGGGGGGGAAGGGTCGAGAGGGAGGAGGGGAGGGCAAGCTAAGTGCGCTCGTGTCATAACTGACTTTCTACCCCTCCCTCCCATACCTGACCATGGCGTGAATTCCCTCTCTATTCGCACAGTCGGATGTCGTAGCAGGGCGTAGCATTACATGGAATAGCATGGTGTTGAAGATCAACGCGTAGCCTGACATAGAATGGCGTGGCGACGCCCCAAGGTGGGGGGGGGGCTTCTGTGGCCCAACTAATCAACGAATCGGCACCGAATGTGAAATCACTTCCGATGGTTCTTTCGGGGGGGGGCGTTTTCTAGATTTTGGGGCCTATTTGGAAGGACCGAACCATGCCGTGGCATGGCGCTGGACATAATGACATGACGCCAGCGCTGCACCAAGAGCACGACTCGGAACAAGCGGAAGCGCGGAAATGAGGCCAGCGCTGCAGCGGGAGCACTCTTCGGAGGACGCGTAGCCTGACATAGCATGGCGTGGAGACGCCCCAAAGTTGGGGGGGGCTTCTGCGACCAAAAAAATCAAAGAATCGACACCGAATGTGCAATCACTTCCGATGGTTCTTTCGGGGCGTTTTCTAGATTTTCGGGCCTATTTGGAAGGACCGAAAATCATGCAGTGGCATGGCGAAGGAAATGATGACGCCAGCGCTGCAGCGAGAGCACGACTCGGAAAAAAGCGGAAGCGCGGAAATGAGGCCAGCGCTGCAGCAGGAGCACGATTCGGAACGAGCGGTAGCACAAAAATACTGCCAGCGCTTCAGCGAGAGCAGCATTTTTTTAACAAGCCTAAGCGAAAAACCAACTCCCGCGAATCCTGTGTAAAAACCAGTACGCGGAGGGGGGCCGGACATGTCCCGGACGTCACCAGGGGAGAGAGGAGAGTAGTATTTATATTGTGTAATCGTGGAGGGAGGGGAGTGGAGGAGGGGAGGGAAGCGGGGAGAGAGGAAGAGGGGGGGAGGGGGGAGAGGAGGCGATCGTCTCGTCCCTGAGGGAGGGGGGGGGCTCCACTCGCCGTGGTGGTGGGAGGGGGCGAAGGGAGGGGAGGGAGGAGAAGGCATCGGCAGGAGCAGAGGCCAGGGGACCCACAGAGAGAAGTGCGCGCCCACTCACGTACGTAACACGGCCCCCCAGTCCGCGAGACCAGCCGCGTGGTGCGAAAGCTCGCGCAACGCGTACGTCGGAAACCGACGTGGATTCGTGCACGTGCACGTCCCTCTTTCGCTCCCGAGGGAGGCAGGCGCGGGGGAGCAGGGGCAAGGAGAGAGGCAAGAGAGGGAGCAGGAGCAGGATGGTTGTTGCCTGACGTCCACGGCCACAGGCCCGCAGAGGCGGGCAGATGCACTGGTGAGGTTATCTAGATATGTGTATGCATGTATGGCCATAACACGCCATCAGTGCTGCATCGGAGTTCTAGATAGTGGCGAATTCGGCGAGACAAACAGCATCGGAGGCAAAGCTGACGGCCTGTGGGGTGGAGGAGGACATGAAGAGGATCAAGAAGAACATGATAACGAAGGAGGGGATGGAGGAGGCGATCAGGGCCGTCGGGAAACCTACAACTGAGGAGGAGATTACACAAATGATTCAGGAATCCCTTCCAAAGATGAACTTGGGCAGCATGCGGCCACCTCCGAGTACGCACGCCTTGACATCTACAGTGGTCGTGGTCGGCGGCCTCAAGGGGTACTCGTTCAAGGCAGCTTCGGAGTGGATCGACAAGTTGATAAAGCCCCTGGAGGTCTACAAGAAGGACAAGGAAGGAGAGGAGTTCAAAGGCTTGGTGTTTGCCAAGTTCGCAAACGAGATTGGCGCGGCCGAGGCGGTGAAAATCATGAGAGAGAAGGTGATGCAGGAGAACGTGGGGAAAGAGGCAAAGGAAAGGATTTGGTGCGACATCGAGGCCCCCATTGACGTGAGAGTTTGCACCGGCTTCCTCAGGAACTTCAGGAACCAGCTCATCGAATGGAAGTTCAGCCCGGAATGCATCAAGATCGATCGGCCCAATGCCACGTTGAAGGTCCAGGGGGAGGAGGTGGTAAAGGTGAAGGTGGATGGGGGCGACTTCCAGGTGGAGTGGGTGAAGGAAGAGTGGGCCCAGTGGCAGGAACTGCAATCTTCCTCGGAGTTCACACTCGTTCTCCAGACGGCGAAGGATCGGCTTGCTAAGAGCCGCGAGAAGACGACCAAGGGGGCCGGGAAAGGCCCCGGCAAGTGA